GCTTGCGGGACTGGCCTAGGGGAAATTTTTAGCGGGGGTTTTAAAATAATTTTAAATTACTTAGGCCAATTGTTAATATTTGTCTTTTAATTATATTTTAACTGTAGTATTTGGTATTTTGTAGTTGTTTTATCTGGTTGTTAGCCGCCCTGAGTCCGCAAGGAGAAGGGCGGGATATAAATATAATAAACATAAACATAAACATAAACATATACTTCTACATATCAACACAAAGCACCATCAGACATTGTCTGACAGGGTTAAACTTAACAGCTACTTGAAAAACATCCCAATTGTTCAAAACACATTGCAGAGGAGTACATTTTGATTTAATTTGTTTCTTTAAATTCCTCTGACGATTCCCCATATATTATTTTTTTTTCTACTTCAAGATTGTTCCTCTAATATTTTCCTTATGGGGGTGTATGATGGCTGTAAGGAGGCAAAAGAATTAGCCTCTTCAGAAGGAGCTGAAGATCCAATTAAAGATGCTTTTGGAGGCACACTTTTTACTTTGATCCTAATCAGGTGGGAGGCTTGTAGTTAATTGTTGCCCTGCTGAAGCATCTGAGCCAAATTTTTCCACTGCTTGATGGCACTGATGCCATTGATGTAATACCTGTACTGGAGCCCGAGATTCAAGATGTAAAGTATGCCCTATCTTTTCCCAATCTCGTAACCTAAGCGTCCAGCGCTTAGGATATCAAGGGCAATGTTTCCCTACCTCCTCCACCAGCTTCCTTATGTCTGCCTCAGGCGCTGTCACGCCTGATTTATGTAACAGGAATCTGAGTTCCTGTACATGTTTCTGCTGGTGCTGAGATAGATTGCAACCCATACGTACCATTGAGGGGTCCCATAGGACGAAAGTGCACTTAGGGGTCTGTTCCAGATGCTGGTAAATATGTTGGCTGTTGCTCCCTCGGAAGGGGGGGCTGTCCCAGTTCAGGGGGCATATGTTGACGCTAAGACAAAGACGCAGGCATGTCTTGAGCAGAGGTTTGAAGCTGCAGGACACAGCTTGACAAACTCTGTGAGTTTATTGCTTTTTATATACTTGTTACATGCACCAGCTTAACCATTAGATGCTGACAAAGGTTTCTTCATTGGAAAATGTCTTCATGTAAGCAACTATTTCCTAGTAACACATTACATGATCAAAGACCAGATAAAGAGCAAACAGGAGAAGGAACTAACAAAGGCAGGAAAAGATAGGAGAAGGAACTAAGCATATTATCTGTTTAGGTAGGTGAGGCATTAAGTCAAAAGGGTATGACCTTCTGGCTGCTTCACTGGGACAAAGAGTATCAAAAGGTTATGAGGTTTGTGTGTGTGGGAAAAGCATGGCAGTTTGCTGCGCGTGCGGTTTTCCCCACATATAGACTATCGTAGTTAACCATATCTGAGTATCATGTAACTCCCCAAATTTGAAATTTGACTTAAAATAAAAATACATAATAATTACAAATCAAAGCCAAGATTGTTCATTATAAAACCACCATATACACCAAGGGTCAAACATTCCAAAACGTTATTAAAAATCTTTATTCATCTAGAGGGATAGTCAAGGTTAGTGAAATTTTAAACCATGTCCTTCATTTTAAAATTAAATATTTTAAATGAGTGAAAAGCAACCAGACAGGGAAATAGTGTGGTCTATGCAATTGCAGATTGGACTACAATTGGACTGGGTTCAAGGCCATAAAAAGTCCTTGGGTGACTTTGCATCAATCACTTTCTCTCAACATAGCCTACCTCACAATGTTGTTGTGGAAAAAATAGAGGATGGGGTGTGATGTATAGTATCTCAAACTCCTGGAAGAAAAATCCTGAGATATAAATTAGACAAATTAAATAAAAGTGTGATGCTTTCCATAAAAAGAACTAAGTAATTTCGTAGCCTTTTCCCTTTCTGTGAAACTCTGTTTTGAATTGGAAGTCTATCTACTCTCCCTTTGCATCCATGGAGTGCACCTGTTTCTTTTTCTTTTGTTTTCTTTTCTTTTTTTTACAATTTTTTAAATTTTATTTCCAAAATTAAAATACAAAATAAAGAAAAGAAAAAGAAGAAACAACCATCAAACACTAATATTAAAAAAATGTGTACAAAAAAACAACAAATGACAAGTATATCATTCACACTGATATTAAATATAAAAAGTTCATCCTGGTTGAATGCTGAAAATATATATCAAAAATATCTGATGCATTCTCTTCCTCTTATAATATAGGTCAATAAATAATTATAAACGTTCCCATCTATATTTAATAAAAATACTATGTTACATACTGTAAAAAGTTGTCCCTGATGCAGAAATCTATCTATCAATCCAATTGACGCAGCATCTGTTTGCTATATAAAAAAGCAGTCAACAGGTAACCTCAAAAATAAAACTAATCTTCCAAGCCAGCATTAGTCTTGTCTAGCTTTCTTTTTATTCTAAGGCAGTGATGGCGAATCTTTTAGAGACTGAGTGCCCAAACTGCAACCCAAAACCCACTTATGTATCGTTGGGTGCCGGGTTGGCATGGCCCATTGGGTCGGCGTGGCTGTGGTGGTAATGGCAGACTGGGTGGGACTAAAAAGTTTAATCAATCAATTCCAACTTTGCGAGAACTTCCCCCCCCCCCCCAGAAGTTGAAATTGATTGATTGATTGAACCTTTCCTTTTTTTTTTGCACACGGCAGCGGAGGCCTAAAGCGAAAAGGTTTTATAAAACCCAGCTGAAGGCCTAGGACTGGGGCAATGGTGCGCGTGCCCACAGAGAGAGCTCAACGTGCCACCTATGGCACGCGTGCCATAGGTTCGCCACCATGGTTCTAAGGGCTTCGCATGTTATACGAACACTGCCCATTCAGACGGTTTATGATTCAGTGTCTTTTCAATGGATTTATGATACAGTGCACTCCACATAAGGCTATCCTTGAAGAGTATCTGATGCAGAATGCAACTGCAAGGGCAATTCTGGATGCCCCAAGGACTGTATATGTCACACCTCTGCTGTGTGAGCTGTATTGGGTGCCAGTTTATTTCTGGGTCCAATTCAATGTATTGGTTATCACCTTTAAAGCATGGGACCAAGTTACCTGAAGAATCATTTTATGCTAATCACACTGTCCTATCCCACCCAGTCAGGCATGGAGGGTATGTTACAGACCCTGTCGGTTAAAGATCTCCAACTGATGGGGTCTATAAAGAGAGAGACTTCACTGCTGTTGCTCCTGCCCTACGGAATATCCTACCCCCAGAAGTGAGGTTGGTCTCCATTTTTCTGGCTTTTCAAAGGAGTGTGAAGGCCTGGGCTGCCAATTCACACAGTATGGTGGAACCACCAGCTGAAGGAAAGGAGGCTCCAATTGGAAGGGGAGGGGGTGTTAAAAGACATTCCAGCTTAAGAGTCCATTGGGGGAGGAAACATTTGAAGTCAATATTTCTGCCATTTCTAAAGAGTAGGCAGATGGTCTGGCAAGTGTCTTGTAAACTGGTGATCAAAAATAAAGAAACCCACCTGACCCATTCTTGGAGCTGTTCCAGTTGCTTGCATCTGACACATGGGGATTGAGAAACGTCATGCAACCTTGGTGGTGGTTGGTGCCTTGAGGGCCCTCCCTCTGTTATCTGTTATCTTTGTTTTTACTTGTTTCTCATCCCGTTTTAATTGTATTTTCATTGTATCTTTGTATACAGCTTTAAGAGTTTTACCCATCAACTGCCCAGAGTCCCTTAGATAGTGAGATCTGCAGTGCCTAAATTAGACAGACATTGTCAATCCAGAAAAATTGATTGATTCAATAGAATAGAATAGAATAGAATAGAATAGAATAGAATAGAATAGAATAGAATAGAATAGAATAGAGCTGGAAGGGACCTTGGAGGTCTTCTAGTCCAGTCCCCTGCTCAAGCAGGAGAACTATACCATTTCAGACAAGTGACTGTCTAGTCTCTTCTTAAAAACCTCCAGTGATGGAGCGTCCACAATTTCTGAAGGCAAGCTGTTCCACTGGTTAATTGTCCTCACTGTTAGGAAGTTTCTCCGTAATTCCAGGTTGCTTCTCTCTCTCTCTAGTAATGCACTGTGTGAATGAAACTTGTGCAGCACCTAAAAGTATTGAATTGCAATATTCATCTTGTGGTTTAGGGGAAATGGGCCACACAGTTTGAATTCTAGAATCATTGAGTGTAAGAGGGAAAAGGGAACTTGAAGATCTAGTCCAAACATCTGCCTGGTGGGATAATATACGTTAGTGATGTCTACAGGTGAAAGTTCCTTTGGGCTTGGCACAGGGTTAGGGTTGTCTATAGAATGTGCTGAGATGCTGCAATGCTGCTTATATCACCTTGATCTTCCTGCCGTTTTTCCCCCCTACCCCCCACCTCTCCCCCAAGGGTTGCGATTGACTTCAGCATCTCCACCAGATGCCCATTTGCTCTCTGTTTAGGTTGGGGCATGCTCCTCTTAATAAGATTAGATGGGCCAATGATTTAATGCCATATATAGTAGCTCTCCTATGTTAGATAAATTCTCCAAGATCTATAAATGGTCTGCATTTCCAGCTGTTCCACTCCTCACCCATTTTTCTCTCCTGATGTCACAGCCATTCTCCTTTCATTCTTGGGACTGAGTATTCCCATCCTCTTGTACTCCTGAATGACTTCAGAATGGTGTTTTGATATGCTCTGCTTCATTTTTTTACTGGTTGACTCTTTGTCCCTATTTTCTCTTGTTGTAGTAGTCCGTTTCTTTCTAATTTGGCATATCTGTTTCTACCTTTGCTTTTCCTTTTGCTACTCTGTAGGGTGTCTAATTCTTCCTCTTTTTCCAACTGTTCTTTTGCAACACTTTTTTTTTTTGCTTTGTTTTAAATGTTTCCAATCCCCACTGCCCGCCCTTAGCTGTCCTTTCAGGCTATCTTCCCACAACTGTGTTTTTTTTCCTCCTATTTCTGCCTGTTTTTCTGACTGTTCCTCTATCCTCCCTCCAACCCTGCCCCACTGCAGGTACGAGGTGATGCAGTCATGCTGGCTACCAGCTTTCCATCGCCCAACTATGGAAGAGCTGCACTTGCAGGTGAGCTACCTGTTGAATGAGCGCTCCAATGCTCAGGCAGAGGAGAGTTTTGAGTGGCGCTGGAGTGCCCTGAAACCCATGCGTTCCTCTTCCCCACCACCGGCCTCCTCTTCTTCAGCACGCCATCACTGCCCATCAGAAGAGATCTCAGCCTACCCACTCCTGGACGGATTCCATGCTGGAGACATGGATGACATCCTGACTGTGACCGAAAGCAGTGGAGGGCTGAACTTTGAATATATGTGGGAGAAGGCCCGGCTGGGGCGATGGAAGGGCCCTGCCTCAGCACCACCCGAATACCCCTCCAGCAATGGTGGGCTAGCGGTGCCTGTCAGCAACCCTTTCTATGAACAGGCAGTGCATCGTGGGCACAGTCTGGAGACGCCCAGTGTTGTGCCTGTCATCAGCGCCCGCAGCCCTTCTGTCAGCAGTGAATATTACATTCGCCTGGAGGACCACGGTAGTGGTGAGGGGACGGTCTGTGCCCCCAGCCCTGGTTCAGCACCACAGCCCCTCTTTCCCTCCAATTGGGATTGCCACAATGCCCCCCTTCGGCCACCTGAGCAGTCCAGTACTAACCCTTTCTTGTCTGGGGGCAGCGGTGAAAGCAATCCTTTCCGTGTAGATGGTGAGATCCAAGAGACGTCACTGACAGAGACACCAACCACAGAGGGTGAAGCGTTCCTTGCAGAATCCCTACTCACTGTGTATCAGCAGCATAGCTGGGATGTTGAGATGATGGAAGAACGAGGGGCCGGGGAGACGCTGGCTGGGGACCCCTCAGAGTTCCAGGGGTCACCTTCCTGGAAACAGGAGCCTTCCCTGATGGAGGACCACAGTTCTGGCAGTAGCACTGATGATGGTGGAAGCAGCATTGGAGGAGGGCGGCGCAAACTTCTGCCCTGCCCCCTGTGCACTCGGGCACGTTGCACATGTGCCATCCCTCGAGGGGATGTGGTAAGCAGTTGGAGCAACCATGGCCCACCTTTGAGGCATCCTCACCGGGATAGCTATGGCACTGAGGATGACTCCTCACTCAAAGTGGAGCGGGGCTCCCTATCTGACTGTTCTACAGTACCTCCTAGAGACTGTGATGGAGATACTGGGGATCACAGTGAATTTTATGACCCACTTATGGGCACAGCTGTAAAGACCTATGAACTTCAAGATTACCCAAAGCAGAGAGGTGGGGGAAACATCCATCCACCTGGATCACCCTTTCCAACTATGTCATCCGCATGCTGCAATGTGATTGTCCCTGTAGAGATACCACCATTATCTACTCTAGCTGAGACTAACGATGAGGAGACTATTGCAATTCTCCCAGAAGCTGTTGATGGATTTTCAGCTGGCCCTGCAGCCCTGAGCCTCTCCCCAGCAGCACCTGATCGACAGAGAGGAACCTTAGACTCTGTAGATTCCTTGGACATTCCTTCTAATACGAGCTCCTCAGATGTCTGCAGCCCAGCCTCCCACTACTCCTCTCCAGGACAAAAATTTGGGGACAGTGGCTATGAAACAGAGAGCACCTTTTCACCTGAGTTCATATTTAAAGAGGAATCACCTTCCTCACCTTCTGGAGAAGAGGAAGAAATAGAAGCAGAGGATGATCCTGGCAATGTCCCAGTAATGCCCATCTCTCAGTCCACTAGCGATCTTACACTCTCAGCGAGCGAAGAAGGGACTGAACTTGAAGAAGAGGTAGGCAGGAGCTTGGGGCTTACAATCCCTCACCGTGATTCTGCTTACTTCTCTGATGGGGAGGCTGAATCCTCTGAGGCACCGATTGTAACCAGAACTGAGGAAGAAAAGCCTTCAGAGAAGACAATAGTAGATGGAGGCTTTGTGGTTCAGGTGTGCAAAGAGCAGTTGTTGGTCACACTGCAAGAGAATGTCACACGGAATCTACTTTGCAGTCAGAAGGTGCCAAAATTGGGCTTTTCACCAATTGCCTCCTTAAAAGACCAAGCCATTGTCAAGCTTTGGAGGCTGGAGCCAGAAGAGACACGGCAAACTGTGGAGGAGGAAGAGAAGGAAAAAGAAAGAGGAGGAGAAGAAAAAGAAGGAGAAAGAGAAAGAGAGGAAGAAGAGAATGAGGAAAAAAGCCACCTTGAGGAAACAGTGCATTTCCAGTGGTCAGAAAGAGTGGAAGATAAAGCAGAAGAAGAGGAAGAGGAGGAGGAAGAAAAGCAGCAGCAGCAGACGAAAGAAGGAACTGGAGCACCTGAAGAGAAGCAGCTTGAATGGAAGGAAGAAGAAAGGAAGGAAGGAGAGAAAGCTATTCATACTGAGATACAAAGTGAACCCATGGCCAACATGGAACAATCACAAGAACCTCAGCAAGACACTTATGTAGCAACTGACCAGCTCAAAAAGGAGCAGGAGCCTGGGGTCCCTATGAATCAAGCCAGTGAAGACATCAAAGGTAAAATTCTACAATTCAGGGTGGCAGTAACAGGAAGACAGGGTGATCATGTAACAAACGGGATGGAAAAACATCCACATGGCTTAAAATTACGGAGGCTGAGAATCACCGATTTAATGGGAAAGTGGCAGCGACCAAGCATGTGGTGGTGGGGAGGATTCAAGATGGTGATTTAAGCCACATTATTAAATCCCCAATTCTTTAATATGCAGTTCATATAAAAAGGGGCAGAGCTTTGATGGCACCATTGCAACCACCATTATGACTTACTTTACTGCTTCCCATCAATGTCTTTGGCAGTGGTTCTCTGGAGCAGGATCAGCGTCCCATGAGGCCCTCCCCTAAGCTTCAGAATAAAATCTTAAATGAAGAAAGGGAAGAGTTAATAAAGACTTCCTCCAAATTATGAATATCCTGGGGACACTGAATAAGAATTGTTTTTTTTTATTTTTATTATTATTCTTATTCTTATTATTATTCTTATTATTTTTTTATTTTTATTTTTATTTTTATTTTTATTTTTATTTTTATTTTTATTTTATTTTATTTTATTTTATTTTATTTTATTTTATTTTATTTTATTATTTTATTTTATTTTATTTTATTTTATTTTATTTTATTTTATTTTATTTTATTTATTTTATTTTAATTTTAATTTTAATTTTAATTTTAATTTTAATTTTAATTTTAATTTTAATTTTAATTTTAATTTTAATTTTAATTTTAATATTTTTATTTTTATTTATTCAATTTCTATAGCTGTCCAACCCAATCAAGTGACTCTGGGTGGCTTACAATTTGATCCAATGGTCCAGTTTTTAATTTTACTTCTTTTGTTTGCTAAAAAGCTCCCCCCCCCCCCCCCGGAACTACATGAACACCACCCAAAGTCTTGGCAAGCAACTTTTTTGTGTGTGGAGAGCTGTTCTGCTAATCAATGTATTTTTTTTACAAAAAAAAATATCTAATTTTGAAGAGGGTTGGATTTATAGGCAATGTCACAAACAGTAAAAAAAAACACCAACCAATTTGGGGGTCTAGTTTCTTTTAGCTGCTTTATTAATCCAACCATGATCAACATAATTTGATCCATAGTGTTAAATGGAAAAAAAGTAATTAGTTACAGACATGATTATGGATTTGTTCTGCTGTCAACTTTTCCATGGATACTAGTTGTTTGCAGGCCAAGAGAGTTTGGTAATCAAATTAGAGTAAACCACTCATTTTGAACTGATACATGTGGCAGGTCATATTAGGTTATATGTGGGCAAAATTACAAGGAACCTAGCTTTAGTAAAATAATACATTCTCTCTCTTCCTCCCTCTTTCTCTCTTTCTCTCTGTCTCTCTCTCTCTCTCTACCCCTCTCTCTCTTTCATCCCAACTCTTTTATTCTTGGCTGGTTTCCATGTTATCTGTCCTTCTTGACCTTGGACCCTTGGCTCTTCCATCACTCTCCCTTCTCCTGGCAATCTTCACCTTTGACCTCTAACCTTTGCCTCCAGCCAAGCTATCCCGTTTGTCTCTGTCACTGCCGCCACTGGCTTTGCAGATGTTTTCCCCATCTGGCGGAGCAAGGAAAGGACCATTTTGGGAAGGAACCGCTTTGGGGGAGGGTCCGGCTCTGGGAGGGAGAGAGGCTTCCCTAGGAGCAGAAGAGGAAGAGGATGCTGAAGAAGTCGAGGAAGGAGGCTTGGCTGAAAATGGAGGGAGGGGTGTGCCCATTGTGGTGAATGAAAGCGATGACGCCCGCAACTTGCGTGGCCTTCTCAAGTCACCTCGCTCAGCAGAGGAGGCAGCAGCTGAGTTTGACCGCAAGCGAAAAATGGTCTCCTTCTTTGATGATGTCACCATCTACCTCTTTGATCAGGTGAGTTATGAGGAGGTGAAGGGTGGAGAGTATGAAAGTTGATTCACAGTAGCATAAAGAAGGACTTTAAAAGTCCCATTTCCAGACAGTGTTTCTTCTTTCATGGATTCTGGGTCTCACCTTTCTCTTATCTTCTACATCTCTGGGTTTATTTCTTCCCACCCAATTGTCCACATTTTAGATTCTCTGCCAATGCACATGACACATATTTCCTTTTGGGTCTGGCTTAATCCCAGCTATGCTGTCCTTTCATGCCTCCTTATAGAAACGGCCAATGATCTGTGGATAATAGGTTTTCTTCCCCCAGCAGTTGGATGCCTTTGATCTATTCCAATAGCTGAAAGGTTTCATACATATTTGCATAATGATGACATGCAACACGAAGGCTCTTTTTCTCCCTTGTAGTTTACATCAATGGGGGAAGGTCCTGAAAATCCCAGGGTTTCTTCCAGTTCACATCCTGCTAGTCTTATCTCTCTTCCCACCCCACGATTTAAACAGTCAGTTGCTGAACCTTTGCATTCTGATAAATGATTTTCCTTTCTTACTTATTTGATTGAACTGTGCCTCAGTCCAGAGGGACTTTAGATGGATAATTCAAAGGGATTTTAGTTCCTGTCCTTGTTTTTAATTAGGAGACACCAACCAATGAACTGAGCTCACAGGGAGCCCCTGATGGTGATGCCCCTTCTCCTGGCTCAGCTGCCGAACCTGGACTTGATGCGTTCCCACCAGCTGATGGCTTCAGTGAGTACTGGGACAAGTCAGAAATGTTTCGTCTCTCTAGCAGCCTTAAATGTCAAGTAGGAAATGGGCCAAACCAGTTACAGAGCCAGAGTGGAAGAAGGCTGAGTTATCCAGGTGCTGTTGATAAGAAAGCAGTGTATGAATAAGACGGATTAAAGGGTCAGGTTTCAGGAAGGAACAGGTTTGCAGCCAAACTGATTGTCAGATATAGGAAGAGTAGACAGATGAAGGCTGGATAAAGTCCAAAAGAGGTTAAGGTTGATTTTGAAGGGAGACTGCTGAAGGGGACCAAAGACAGTTGCAAAGGCTCAGCTTGGCATGAAGACAATTTCAAGAAGAAGCAAACGAAGTTCAGAACAGAGCAAATGCAGATTGGAATCAGTGTCTCAGGCAGAAAGTTCTCCATCCATCCATCCATCTGTCCATCCATCTCCCACCACAATCTGTATTACATCCATGCAGCTAGAAACAGATGCAAAGTTAAGTCTAGCAGGGTGATCATCTTGGGTATCAGTCAAAAATAATGAACAAGAATCCTAGTAAAGTCTTCACACTTAAGACCGCTTGCTTCAACAGAACATCAACCTTGAATGCCAATTTTAGGATAGGAACGAGCAACATATGAGGTACTTTCTATAAGGCTGGAGGAGGCTGTTTGGTGATGCTATGGCGTTACTGAAAGGACAAGACTGTTTGTTTGTTTGAGGGATGGGTTATTATGAGAACGAGAATGGGTGGCCTCAGGGAAACACACTGTTCCCACCCCCATTTTTAAATGACTCAGATGTCTAACCAAACATTCTGAAATGCCACTGCTGAGATTTGTACCTTTTGCCACTGAATGTTGGCAGTGCAACATTAAACTTAATGAATGGGCATGTCTCTTAGGGATTACTGTTTGGGGATTTTAGAAAGCTTTTAACACAGCTAAACTGATGCTTCTCAGGGCAATCTTTCCCAGCGACTTCCAAACATGGTGGAAATACCTCTCTTTAAATTCCAAGCCATCCAATTTGTATAACACCAGGATGACAGTACAGCCTGAAAATATATACTCAGCCTACTGGGCAGGTAGAAGAAAAATTACAGGATCCTGATGACAAGAATCTTGGTTTAAGGCTCCCTTTACCCCTGACTTGCCTGTAGTCAGCAAAACTCTGAAGTTGTTGATTTGAATATGGAGAATCTACAACAGTGTTTCTCAACTTGGCCATTTTAAGGTATGTGAACTTCAACTCTCAGAATTCCTCAGCCTGGCTGGGGAATATCTTAAAATTGCTAATGTTGAGAAACACTGATCTAGAATAATTGCTACTACTCTACTTCCCATCTTCATCTCTAAGTGTACAGCTTTGTCCACTGATGGTTGCACCATCTCTCTGTGTGTATTTTTAATGCTGCAAATCACTCTGATGTTTTACCTGAGGTGGAAAAATGGTATTAGTGAATTTACCCTTGAAAATGGGATCAGATTTCCAGGTATAAAATGATGGCCAGGTGAGATATAGTTCCATTTTATTTCCTATTGGTCAGATCCTATCTCAATTGTTGTGTTCAGTTCTGGGCACCATACTTTTAAGAAAATTGTTTCATAGAAGGGCAATGAAGAAGACTGAAGGGCAAGAAACTAAGCTGAAAAGAATCTAAGGAAGCAGAAAATTCTAAGAAGAGAAAATAACAGGCAGATGGTGGTAGTGCAGATAAAGTAAGAGAACATGCGGTACCTGAAAGGAAATCACACAGTAGAAAAGGATGAAGGATTATCTATAATTCCAGAATGCAAAATTGGGAATAATGGAGTTGAGTTACAGAAAGATTGAGACTGGATGAATATTGGAAAGAAACCAGAGACACGGTTTCCTCTTGGATGTGATCAAGTGGAAATTGGTACACCCATCTCTGTCAGGCAGTGGTTTTCAAAATTGGTTTGTTAGGGCACTTTGTTCTGCTGCTGTTAAGTAGTAAGAACTGAGGAAAGACTCTAAGATACTTATGTATTTGTGACCCAGTAGCAGTATTTTAATTAATATTTTTACAATATCAGTAATAGTTTGATTTCAACACAGTTAATGCAGGGCTGGGCAACCTGTGTGGCCTCAAGTTTCTTTTTTTGCAGAAAGTTCTCTCTGCAGTGGCTAAAACTGGGGCAGAGTTTCTCAACATTGGTTGAAATACATATGAAAATAAGAAGGTTTTTTTAAATAAGGAAAACCAGGAAAGCATGTGAAAAATTCCTGGTGTGACCCAGTAAATGTTAAAAAATGTTAAGTCTAGCCACCAAGACTTTGTCCATTTCTAGATTTAAGTGCATTCATACAGATAACGTTTTCCTCCCAGTTTTTGCTTGGATGGATAAAATTATCTGTATCTTTCCTGAGTATGATGGTTGGGATCATTTGGTTGTCTCCAATGCAAAGACAGAGCAGAATTGCCAGTCCTCAGGTGAGCTTCACTTTTATTTCTGCCTTGCTTCATCTTTTTCTGTTGAGACTCCTGCAGAAAATATGAGTGAACCTCTCTGAAGATAAACATTATTCTTTAGCATTCTTCAATTTAAACCCATTTCATGTGTGAGTGGAAATAAATAAAGCCTTATCTTCTTAAAATGAAAATGTGCTTCAGTTAGCAGAAATGTAGGAGACATCGCATAATAATTATGCTGATGTTGGCTGATCCTTTTAAAAAATAATAATCTCCACATAGTTTATTTTTAGAACATAATTTTTATTGCCTCCATGAACGCTCAGAATCTAAAATTGTCATATTAAGGCAGATGGTGGTACACATTCTTCCTTATTCAGAAACTAATTTGCTTTGTGCTGTGGCAAGGACCCGATAATGGAGATATACCCAATTTTAAAAAATTATCTCCTATGTTAGGAAGTGTAACCCCTCCTTATAGGACTCAAGGTACAATAAACCTAAAAACAAAATAAAAACAACAATTAAAAGGACAATAGATCACTAAAACAGGAGCCAAGAATGTAAATTAATAGTCTTTGTTGGAAAAATAGTGTCACAAGAGCTGAAAGTTAGGTAGATCAAAGGCACAGATTATATATTACTTTCCTGCTTTCCAAAACAGAGAGGTGGCTTACCAAAGTTCTTTGGAGAAGACACACCCACTGTTTGGGTATGATACCTAGAAGTCCCTCTTCTGTTGTTGTCAAGCACATCCCCAAAACTTGGTAGAACATAAAGAGCAGGTATTGAAGTTGAACTGTTAGCTGATTAACATGAGAAGAAATAGTTCTTCTGATCTAGTTCCTGATGTTTAGGGACATTTCATTGATTAATTGATTGATTGGTATCAAGTCAGTGAAGATATTTTTTCTCCTTGATGATCTATTCCAGGGGTGTTAAAACTCAGCCCTTTTATGACTCATGGACTTCAACTCCCAAAATTCCTCACCTGGCGTGCCTGGCTGAGGAATTCTGGGAGTTGAAGTCCATGAATCATAAAAGGGCCGAGTTTGAAGACCCCTGATCTATCCCTAAACTGATCTTTCAGGTCTTCCAGCACACTGCACTTATCAGCACTATAATTGAGTCCATCCACCTTTTGCTGGTGGCCCTCTTCTTTCTTTCATTTCGCTTTGGCTAACATTAGAGAGCTAAGTCTTCACATAGTATGTCTGAAGTAGGATAATGGAACCTGGTCATTTGTGCCTTGACTAAAGAATGTACAGCAACAAATAATACTTTATCCAAAAATAAACTGGAGATTTCCAGAATATGTACTGGACCACTCTAGATGATGACTTTACACCTTCTGGAATTTCCAAACATAATTCAAAAGTAGTCCTATATAAAACACAATATAGTTGTCCACTTTAAATGTAAGTAGATGTGAGTGATAATTCTGGGAGTTGAAGTCCATATATCATAAAGTTGCCAAAATTTAGAAACGTTGATATAGTACTGATAGAGGAGAATATTTATAGCTCAGGATTGAACTGTGGGGGTCCTTGGTGTTGTGGCTCCGTCTTGTGAGCCCCTCTTATCGGAGGAAGAAGGCTCCGAACATGAAGGAGAGGAGATGGCTAGGCCTCCCTCTCCAGGACCCTCCTCTTTGGCAATGCCTCCGGTGTCTTCCGACGGAGAAGAGATTGACCAGGAGCCAGGTGGTTCAGAGATTGGCCAGGAGCCCGGTGTTTCTCAGATTGGC